GGAGGGAGGGGGGCATGCCTGGGTAACTGGTGGCTCCCCTGATGCCTCCAGTTTTGGGGCTCTTCCCTGTGCTGCAGGGGCACTGCCAGTTCTCCCGCTACCTCGCCATCCAGGGCTGTGGAATCCCCAAGCCGTGCCTACCTGCATGGAAGATGAGCTGCCCTGTGACATCTCACCTGGGACAGGGCAGTAGGAGACGTCGTAGGCAACACTCCAACCCTGCCAGTGTGGGGCTGGATACTCGGTGCTCTGGTGACTGCTGGTCATAGGGGCGCTAACCCCCTGCTGGCTCAGAGAGGCAGGTGTGCGCGGGCATGGCCGATGGCAGCACGGCTCTTGGTTCCCCTCTCTGCTAGCCACCGGTGGGTGGGGTCAGGTTCAGGGCCTGGGACACTGTGAGACCATGAGGTAGGTGCCAGCTCCCCAGTGGAAGCTGCTTTCTCCATCCTTATGCAGGAGCCGGGCACCCACAGCATCTCTCCTGCTCCCATGCACTGAGCACAGCCAGGGCATCATCCAGGCCAAATGGCAGCCCCTGGAGAGTGTGGCGGTGGCAGCACAAAGGCTGTGTGTAAGTTATTCTCACTTGCGGCTGCTGGTCCCAGACAAACCCTTTGGTTGCTGCTGGCTCCCAAGCCGGGTCCCCAGCGCCACTGCTCCTGCGTCAGGCAGGCCACGGCTCCATCCACAGAGCATTGAGGATTGCAGGCCAAGAGGAGTTGATTTCCAGTGTCGCAGAGTCAACTCCAGCCCAGCAGGAGCTCCTAGGTCTGCCAGGGTGCGGGAGTGAGCCACCAGCACTAGGAGTGAGCCATGGTTCGATCTACAAACAGGGACTGAGATGTGGGCCTGAGCTGGGAGAGAGAGATTGTGTCTGGCTCAGTCGGGCCTGAAGAGGGTGGATTCTTGTCTCCAGATTGCACGGGTGGAGAATCCCTGCACTAGGGATTTGCCCAAGGAAAGGGGGATTCAGCCCCACCACAGGTCTCCAGCCTCCTCAGACTACTGGAATCTAGGCAGCACAGGGAACCCCCACCAGGGAGACAGGGGCTTGATCATTACAACCAACAATTACCCTGTGTGGATGGTGGCAAGAAGCCGTGGACACACCTTGCTGGTCACACAGGGTGGCTGGAAAAGGGGCCATGGGGGAAGGCTCTGGTCCCGTGAGGGGCTGGAAATGCATCTATAGGAAACTCCCTTGTTACAGGTGATTGCTGAGCTGCATTGATTTGTGAGCGGCTTGGAGAGCTGGCAAAAGGCCTGATGAGGCAGGCAGGCTTGCACCATGCCCCTGGCCTCCCCGCTGGGCTCGGCTCTAATAGCCTGGGGTACCGAGGAGTGGAGCTCAGGCCCCATCTGCCAGGCTGTTAGCAGCTGAGACTGTGGGACTGTGCCTCCTGCAGGGGAACGGAGACAGGAGCTGGGTGGGCAGGGGAGTGGGTACCGAGCAGCATGCTGCCCAGAGCAGCTGAAGAGAAGGGCTGGACCGGGCGTTTGCGAAGTTTCAAAGCAGCAGTGTGTGCGTGCAAGGGGTGGTGAGGCTGTCATGCATGATTGTATGTGTATGTACCAGCTGTCTGAGGGGGCGGGTGTGTATCGACAGCTCTTGCTGCAGGGCCAGGCTCACTGTCATGCAGAGGTGGTGCCAGCCCATTGGGGGCTCTAAGCAGGAATATTTTTGTCCCCCCCAATAATATTTAAAAGCGAACAGCCCTCCCCCCCCCCCCCCTTGAGCTACCCTGGACCCTAAGCGATTGCTCAGTCTGCTTAAGCTCAGGGGACCACGCTGAGGTTCTGGGCTGCCCAGAGTGAGCTTGCTGCTGCATCGCTCTGATTTTGGCCAGACCCACATCTTCCCCTACCCCCACCGAACCCTTTTCATTCCTCATTATGGCGGGGGGAGGCTGCTTACCCCCAGCGCACCCTGCTGTCTGTTGCTATGGGAGTGTTTGCTATGGGAGTGCATGCAGAATGGTGCCTGGTCCATCTCCCTCCCCCCCCACCGCGGCACGACCAGGAGTAATGGGGGAGGGTGTGGGGGCAGCACTCTGGGACTGCCTGGCATGTGCAGAGCAGAGCTCCTCCAGCCCAGCTTTGCACTGCTCTCCCGGAGACCTGAGATCATTAGCTCCCTGTGACAGATGCTAACAGGACATGGCCCAGGTCACAGTGAGTCAGTGCCAGAGCCAGGAGTGGAAACCAGGGGTCCTGGCTCCTAGGCCCATACACCATCTACTAACCCCAGATCAGCCCTGCTCCTACTGCCCACAGCCCACCTCCACAGCATCACCAGGGGCCCCATTTTCACAGCTGGGTGACCCAGCTTTGGGATGGAAAGAGGAGATGGTGTTGGAGGGTAGGGGAGCCCAGGGTTCATGTCTTGTTTCTGCTTGTTTCGCAGCCCTGTCAGATCTGCTTGCCTTGATCCTGCAGAAGGACACTGGAACAGGGCTGGCTACCTCCCAAGCACCCCCTCGTGGCCTGCCTTGGTGCTGCAGTGGCTCTGCCTCAGTTTCCCCTCTCCACAGGGCATCTGAACTACTCCCCACCACAGTTCAAAATAAGGTTCCATTTCCAGGGGCCAATTTCAGTTCTGCCAATGAAGTGGTAGAAACAAAGTGTCTGGCTGGCTTTCTGCTCTCTCTCTCTCTTTCCAGCCACACGCCCCAGGATTTCTTGTCTCTCCACACACTCCGGCTCAGAGATGCCAGCAAGCCAAAAAAAAACCTGTTGCTGTTCTGGTGCTACTCAGCCATCTTCGCCAGGCCTTTGCTGAAATGTCCCTTTCCCTTTACTCAGGCCTCTCCTGTAGGGGAAAAACTACAAGTTCCATTTTGTTTAGGCACGTCGCCATTTTGTTTGTAAGGAGTTGTTGACCTTCTTCTTGAGACAACTGGCGCCTTTTTCTCTCTACGGTGGGAAAGAGCAAGGATCACATGGCCTACTCGGAGGTTTTTTTTTTGCTTTGGGATTTTCGATCTTGGGGTGGCAAAAAACCCTGGGCCTAGGGGCGGCAAAAATCATTAATCCGCCACTGCCTCTGAACCTGGTGTAGTATGCTGTATACCTCTGTACCTTACCTGTAGTAAATTCCCCTTTGTCCTTATGGGTTTGGGACCTTGACTTTAAGTCAGTTTGTTATGCCAACCTGTACCTGTATGCCCTTTGTATATTGTTTTGCTGCGGGTCCTATAAGTTACTGTTTCCTGTTTGAGTCACTGTTTAATAAACCAGTTTGCTTTATAGTTAATCCTGTCCTTAGTTTTCTCTCCATTGATAGATGCGGTTTGGGGGAATGAGTCTGCTGGGTGGGGACTCTGAGGTGTGGACCTTAGAGCACATCCAGTTAACCATAGGCAAGATCTGAGTTCCTGGTTAATACTCCCTTATTTATCCCCAAGGCCTAATTGAGTCACATAAGTCATTATCCTTTTTCCCGCCTGGGCAGGTGAGTTAACAATGTTGCAGGTGGGGCAGAGAGACCCATTTCCTGTTGAAGGGCCAGCCACCCTGGGACAGACTCCTTGGCGATCTCACATACATTGCTTGGGAGCTCTCTGGTCCCTCACATGAAGAGGCCGGAGTGCCAAATCTTAACAGAGAGCGCTTTCCTTCCACCTGTTTCTCAGACCTTTGAGTTAAATGGGCATCAAAGCCCAAACAATAAACAAGGTATTTTAAACAGTCCAGATAAAGCCCCATTCCCAGGATATGCGATGCCTGGTTCTCCACTCGCTAGCGTCTGCCAGGAGAAACAGGGTAGACAAGACCTGAATTTCTAGTGTAAATGCAAGCAGGCAACACCCCCTTCCCACTTCTCTCCCGAAACATCAACAGGAACCACCTACTGGGATTTAGTTGCCCACACTGGGCTCTGCCCTGGTGTACATCACTGCTGTGAGTCTGCTCTGCGGGGTGCAGATCCTGGCAGTACACCCAGCACCCGCTCACCCCACGTGCCCGTGACGCATGGTTCTCAGCTGGCTGAGTCAGCCTGGAAACGGGGGGCCTGCACCTCCATTTAATCCTCCTGGCTGCCCACCCGGCTTGGCTTCGTCTCTTTGCTGCTGTGGGGCTGCAGTCAGTGAGCCCAGATGCAGCAGGACATGATGCTGGTCTGTGATCTCTATGTTACGCCTACCCACACACACTGCAGCACCCCGTGGCTGGGGAGTGCTGGGGTGGGGGAGAGGTGAGATTCAAACCCTCAAGGGCTCTGCTGAGAGGGTTTTGTGGGCCCTGGATGTGTCCGATCATGGCAAGTTTTGGTCTCATAGAGGGAGGGGAGGCCGGGGGCGGGGAGGGATAAGATAGATAGGCATTTGCAGTGCCCTGGAGCTGTCAGCGGAGCCAGCCCCAGGACTGGAGGCCAGTGTGATGCCAGAGGCTGGGGGATCCTTGCAGGGAATTCATCTGCTGCTTCTTTGCCAAGGGGGGAGTCCCCGCCCCACACAGAACTGCCCTGAGCTGACAATACTGGAAGCTCTATTTCCCACAGTGCCATGGGTGAGGCAGGGCGGGGGGGGGGGAGGGAAAAGAGACCTTAAACAGCCTCCCCTACAAGCCTCCATCCCCAGATATCTCTCTCTGTTTTTATACACTGTGCCCATCACCATTGTATCTGAGCCCCTCTTGGGAGGGCTCAGGCCTCCACCCAGAGTTTGGTCTGGAGGAGCTCAGCCCCCGGGGGAGGGGACGCTGCAGCTACAGGCCTGTTTATGAGTCTCCCCGCTGTCTCAGCACTGGGGGCTCACTGGACCAGAAGGTGC